TATAACATTTCTAGCCTATGGTTCATGTTACATGGTGGATCACAAGACATCCAAAATCCCTTATGGATTCATCTTTTAGCTTGTGAATTACCCCTTTGCCCTCAATCAATCATTGTGTATCATCCTAGGGTTTTAAACCCTATATAAACCACCATTTAATCTCATTTTCCTGATCTCATTCTTGGCCTCTTCCTCATATTTTTGTCTGCCAAGAACAAGAAGAGAGATAACAACCTAGTGGTGAAGGAGGCTCAAGCTAGGGCAAGAGGAAGAAGAGAACCAAGCAAGAAGATTAGGCCACAAGAGGTATAACCCCATAAATTCCTCTTTAAATTTGGCTATGTGAAGCCTAGTTTTGAGTAGAAATGAGTAGAAACTATGAGTTTTTGATGTGTTTATGCTTAGAAGTGATTTAGTATGTGTTTTTGAGTTGTTGAGATTGTTTTGGATTGGTTTGGATGAGATTTTGCAGGTGAAATCACATATGGTGCACACTGTGCACTAGATCAAAGTGGCGGCCTAGCCGCGGCACATCAAAAGGGCCGCCGGCTAGAGCCGTGGTGGAACGGGACTAGGGCACGGCCCTAGAGGATGGCTGTTGCCTAGTCCCGGTACATTAACGGGGCTCCAGGGGCGAACCATGAAGAGTCCCGCCCCAGGTCCCTGAGTATTGTCTGTGAAGGATTTTTGTGCAGTGGCCGGGCCCTTGTGGCTCAGCTACGTGTCGTTTCGGACCAAGTGTTACAGGCCCTTGTGGCTCGGCTCTTCGGGATTGTCTCGACGCACGTTTTGGCTTTGATTTCGTTGAATTTGGATTAAAAACAAGTATGTTAAGAAGGATTTTTTGAAGAATTGTTACACAGTGCATATTTTGCTAAGTTCTCTGTGTTTTAGAAATTGTTGATTATGTGATCAGATAATGTTTCCATTGAATGAAGAAGCATGATCCTTTAAGAATATGATTTACGAAAGTATGATTAAATTGTGATATTTGATCAATGAGAATAGAAACATACTTGTTGAGTGAAATGTATAGAAATTACTATTTTGCAAACCGAGCCTGATGATATATCCTTGAATACTTTATGTTAGTTTATACATGATTTAGAAGCATGTTATAGAGCATTTTGACATTTCACATGAGTCATATTTCAAAAATGCATAAAGGGCCAATGTGAGTCCAAGAATACTTTCAAAAACCATAAGCATGTGGTATATCATTCTTTGATGCATTAAGAAGTAATAGAATTGTTGCATGCATGAGATTGTTGTATGAGAGATATATTTAAGTATTATCTATATCGGTGAGGTTTTGGAGGATACCGTTTGGACAATGTTCCTCTCGGGAGATTATTTATGGACATTGCGGTCCCAGTATATGTAACGCGGCGTATTCCCACGTTACAAGGTTGGAAACTTCCCGCCATGCTTGGAATCCTGGTTAGGGGGTGTGCACACTAATAGTTCGATACCTGATTCCACAGAGTTTGAACCTCGAGATTAGTTCCGTAGACGGAAGGAGATATTGGGTCGGAATTATGCCGCTCCCGATGGGGTAATTCACACTTCTCTGAAACCCTAAGCCGTCTACAAGTATAATAGAAAGAAAGAGAGTCAACAGAGAATCAAGAAAGAGAGTCAACAGAGACTCAAGTATGAGAGTCAATAAAGACTCGAGAGAAAGAAAGAGAGTCAAGAGAGACTCGAAAAAGTAACAAAGAGACCTCCATAGAAAGTACTCTAATTTATAAATGAGTGTATGAGTATATTATTGTGCTAGATTGCATATGAGTATGAGTATATTGTTGCACTAGATTGCATATGTGTATGAGTATATTGTTGCACTAGATCGCATAAGAGTATGATTATATTGTTGCACTAGATTGCATAAGAGTATGATTATGTTGTTGCACTAGATTGCATAAGAGTATGATTATATTGTTGCACTAGCTTGCATAAGAGTAGGATTATATTGTTACATTGGATTGCATAAGAGTATGATTATATTGTTGCACTAGATTGCATAAGAGAATGATTATATTGTTGCACTAGATTGCATAAGACTATGATTATATAATTGCATGAGATTGCATATGAGTATGAATATGTTGTTGCACTAGATTGCATGAGAAGTATGATCATAATGTTATACATGATTGTATGCGAATAGAGCATCGTAAGAGAATTGTTTAATGAGAAGTTTAACTTAAGATATTCCTTGAGCATGATTATCGTGTTGTAGTAAAAGTTCTACTTATCATGTTATGTGGTAAGAATGTGAAAGCATGTAAATACCTGTTGTATAGTCCTTTAACATGATCCAATCCGTAAGCATGAGTTGCTTGTTAAGTTATTTGAGAAGTCTATGTGTTGATGAATATACGTGATCAGTCTTATACATATATAAGCATGCCAGCTGATATTATAGGGTGCAAGCATCTAGAAAGAATATGATAATCTAAAGATGATTTGAGATTATCTTATTGCTATAAAGATATCAAATGTTTTCAAAGTATATGCTAGAATGCTTTACAGGGTTGAGTGTGGTTATACTTAGCTTCGAGCTAACAGGTGTTTTTCCTGTTTGTCTATGTTTTGCTTGCAAAACCCCTTTCAGGTGGGCCCAGCAGTGAGAAGAGATCGAGTTAGATTAGTCTCTTAGTTTAAGATGTCTAAACTCTAGTTTTAATTATGATCATATCATGGATTTAGACTTATGACTTTATGATTGATGATGTTGTAGTCTTTCGGGGTGTTGTTTTTCCCCTTACTTTTCCAGTATTTATTTTTAGTACCCAGACTTAATCTTATTTGTAGTTTTACCCCTTTTAGCCTGTGCAATCACCAAAGAGTGGTGGTTGTGGCGGTGACACTCCCACTACTTATCTTCTAGTTTTCCGCTGCTTAGTTTATGTTAATGACTGTTTAGAGATGTATTTCAGAGTTAGAAAAGTGGGGTGTTACACGCGTGGTGGTGGTGGAGGCCGCGGGCGTGGTGGCGGCCGCCGTGGTGGAGGACGCAACGGCAACTGGCAACCCAAGTGTCAACTTTGTCATGTGTAGGTGATACTGCTTCCACATGCCATCTTTGGTGTGCCAAGGATCCTCCGGCTAATGTCATATATCAAGAAACTCCTTCGGATCCTCAAGGTTCCCACACTTTGCTACCAGATACAGGTGCCACCAATCATGCCACTCTAGACATCGCTGCTCTCTCCTTGTCAGAGGACTACAATGGTAATGACGCATTACATGTCGATGATGGTATGGGATTACTTATTAGTCGTATTGGTCATGCTACCTTTAATTCCCCCTCTAGATCTTTTCAATTGTCTAATATCCATCATGTTCCTAGTTTGTCTAAATCTCTGTTGTCTGTTCAGAAATTTGCATAAGATAATAAGGTGTTCATTGAGTTTCACCCATCTTTTTTTTTTTTTTTTGGTGTGAAGGATATCAACACCAAGGAAATTCTTCTATGGGGCAATAGTTCTAGGGGGCTTTAAAATCTTCCCATTCTGAGTTCGTCACCAACTGCGTTTCTTTCAGCTAGAGCCTCAGGATCTGTGTGGCATGATCATCTTGGTCATCCACATCAACGAGTTCTTAGTCAAATTCTTTCGTCATGTTCGATTACTGGGTCTAGCAGTAATATACGTTGTTCTTCCGATCTATGTAATGCATGACAGTTAGGGAAATCTGCCCGGTTTCCCTTACCGCGTGTTGAGTCCTCTAGTTCGTGTGTCCTTGATTTAATTTACTCAGACATTTTGGGACCTGCTCCCATTCTTTCTACTAATGGATATCGTTATTTCGTTATCTTTGTTGATGATTACTCTCGTTACACTCGGTGTTTTCCTATGTCACAAAAGTCTTATCTCTATGCTATCTTTGATAAGTTTCGGGCTATGGTTGAACGTTCATTCACTCACAAAATTAAATCCATTCAGTCTGATCTAGGAGCTGAATATAAAATGTTACACACCACCTTGGCTCAGTTAGGCATTCTTCATAGGCAATCATGTGCATATACTCATGAACAGATTGGTCGTGTAGAAAGAAAGCATTGACACATTGTTGAAACTAGTCTACCTCTCTTAAGTCGTGCCTCCATTCCTTATAAGTTTTGGGATTATGCTTTTGAGACTGCGGTTTATTTAATTAATAAAATGTCATCTGCTGTGACAAATAAATCCAGTCATCATCTTCTGTTGCATAAATCTCCTCCATCATATTCTTTTCTTCGTGTCTTTGGTTGTCTGTGTTATCCTTATTTGCGTCCATACAATCGTTATAAGATGTCTTACAGGTCCTCTCCATGTGTCTTCCTAGGCTATCCTGAGTCATTTAGGGGTTATATATGCATGGACATTTAGACTAACAAGGTATATATATGCAGGCATGTTCGGTTTGATGAAAATGTTTTTCCTTTTGGCAAGACAGTTTTGCATGCACCACTAGTTCAAACGACTCAACCATGGACTGAGTCTGTACTTGTTCCAACTTCATCATCCGTCTCGGCTCATCCAGTCTCACTTGAACCGGTCCCGGCCAGCAGCGAATTTAGCCAGCCAGAACCGGCCTAGGATGGGCCCTCGGCGGACATCGAACCTGCTGCTACTCAGCGACGCCGTGGCCGGCCGAGAGGTCGGTCTTCGTGCCCCACGATTCGGACTCACTCCATGGCCACTCGTAGTCACGCTAATGGTCATCTCTTGGCTCTATCAGCCCAGGTTTTCCTAACTGAACCTACTTGTTATACACAGGCTGTTAAACATGATGAATGGTGCAAGGCTATAGATGATGAATTTAATGTGCTCCTTCATAATGAAACCTGATATCTTGTCCCATCTCAGTCTAATATGAATATTATTGGGTGTAAATGAGTTTTTCACACAAAATGGAAAATTGATGGGACAATCGATCGATACAAAGCAAGATTGGTAGCAAAACGATTTATTTAGGTACCCGGTCAAGATTTTTTTGACACATTCAGCCCAATGGTCAAACCCACTACTATCAAGTTACTTCCATCTTTGGTTATATCCTCTGGTTGGGTTATCAAACAGCTTGATGTGCATAATGCTTTCTTGAATGGGTCTTTATCTGAGACTGTCTATATGAAGCAACCACTGGGATACATTGATAAACAATTTCCCAATCATGTTTGTCTGTTGAAACATTCCCTATATGGATTAAAACAAGCCCCCCGAGCTTGGTTTAATCGATTACATACCTTCTTGATGGCAGCAGTTTTAAAGCTTAAAGAACATATGTATATTTGTTTTACTACTCACAAGGTTCAGGTTTCATTTATGTTATTGTTTATGTTGATGACATTCTTGTAATGGGCAATGATCAAGGTTTTATCAGCTCCCTTCTAACTGCTTTATCATCTGCATTCAAGATTAGGGATCTTGGTGAACTTGGTTTCTTCCTAGGGATTGAAACAATCAAGTGTAAGGATGAAATTTTTCTCTCTCAACAAAGATACATGACAGATATCTTAAAACGTGCTGGCATGACATACTGTAAACCTCTAGCCACTCATATGTCTGCTTATAAACCCACTATCTCCAATGCTAATTTATATGACGATGCCACACGATATAGAAGTCTGGCAGGTGCTTTACAATATCTTACAGTTTCCCGCCTAGACTTGTCCTTTGCATTAAATCAGCTGTGTCAGCACATGCATGCACCTACAGTCTCGCATTGAGAGCAAATGAAGCGTGTTCTAAGGTATTTAAAGGGAACTATCACTTTTGGTTTGCGAATTCGGCGATCAGTATCCAGAGAATTACATGCTTTCTCAAATTCTTATTGGACTGGCTGTCCTGAAGATCGTAAATCAACTAGTGGGTATGCAGTTTTTCTTGGTTCTAATCTTATATCGTGGGTATGCAAGAAGCAACAGACTGTTGTTAGATCATCTACTGAAGCCGAGTATAAAGCTTTAGCAGCTGTCTGTGCCGAGGTAATCTGGACTCTCTCGCTTCTACGAGAAATCGGCATAACCGATGTGCCTGCTCCCAAGCTTTGGTGTGATTATCTTGGAGCTACATATATGTGTGCAAACCCTATTTTCTATGCTAGAACCAAGAATATAGAAATTGACTACCATTTTGTTAGAGACAGAGTTGTGAATGGTGATATACAGGTTAACTTTATTTCAACAAAGGATCAGTTGGCAGATAGATATCTTTACAAAGGCTCTAACCCGTACTCGATTCTCCTTTCTTAGGGACAAGCTACAAGTCACCAGTGTACCTTGTGCTTGAGGGGGAGTATTAGGACTCTATGTATTTGAGTTTGATTATGATTCCCTATCCCAGTCTCCTTGAGACTTCGTTCTTATATATACATGTAACCCTGTACATTATATTATTTCATTCAATACACAACTCTATTAGCTCTCATCATTGAATTATTCCAACTCAATTTTATATACATGAGTTACCTTTTAGCTTAATTAAACTTCCCACAACTTCCTAAGATCTTTCCTCAAGGTATCCTTCCATTCGATCTTTTCCTAGGCTTGGTGATGGGGGATTTCTTTGACTATCTTTTGGGGGGGAGGGATTTTCGAGTGAGGGAATAGGGATGTAAGGGTTCTAATTTATTTTCTAATTCCTTTTAAATAGGTTTAGGATTCCCAATACGAATCTGAAAATGTAAGAGGTTTAGGATTCCTAATACGAATCTAAAAAGGTAAGAGGTTTAGGATTCCTAATATGAAGCTGAAAAGGTAAGAGGGTCCTCCTTATTTTATCTAAAAGGCTAACGGGCTTTATTTTAGACAAGGGTCCACGGTCCACCATGGACCATATCAATAAATTAAGGGATTTGGGTATTTATAAAATAATTAACCGAAGCCCATAGTAACATATTTGGAAAATTATATCGTGCACCGCGGTGCATAATCGATTATGCACCGCGCACCAGACACTATAGTGTGTCTAAACCGACACTGTCAAAACGACGTCGTTTTATTTAATGAAAAGAAACGAAATCTTCGCAAAAAATAACTCTGTTTTTCAGTTTCATTTTGTATAGACTGCAGTTTCAGTTCAACACAACTACAGTTTCATTTCGATATAACTACAGTTTCATTCAATATTTATACACTCAAATATGTGAAAATGTTATTTAATTTTATTTTATATACACTATAATTTCATTAAAACGCAACTACATGATCATTTGAACATAATTACAGCTTCATTGTACAATATACACTCAAATATGTGAAATGTTATTCAGTTTCATTTTATATATACTGTAGTTTCATTTCACTACAACTACAGTATCATTTTGATATAACTGTAGTTTCAGTTGATAATATTAAAATAATACGTGAGCCAGTGTCGGTTTAGACACACTGTAGTGTCTGACGCGCGGTGCATAATCGATTATGCACCGCGATGCACGATATAGCGACCCAACATATTTAGGTGTGTACATATATATATATATATATATATATATATATATATATATATATATATATATATATATATATATATATATATATATATATACCAAAATATTTAATTATAAGCAAATAGTTCTATTTGTATAATATTTATATTTAATATAAATATTTAGGAAAATACGGGGTGTTACACACGCCTCCACCCTTATGCCAAATATAGACTCCCCACAGCATAGAGCTCTATGTTTTAGCCCGGGAGAATCTTTTGTGATCCCGACATAAGCAATGGCTCCCTCTTTCATTTTTTCCCCTCTTTTCTTTTCAGTTGGCCATTGTTTTTCGTCTTGCCTTTTTCTCTTTTTTTTTTTATTTTTTATTTTTTTATTCTCCTTCTTCTTTCACTCATGCTTTTTCATTTTGGGATTAGGGAATTTTTTCAATTCCCACCCACAAGGCTCACCGTTTCCTCCAATACCTCACCAAGATTTAGTTCAATTCCGAACTTGCAATTTTTATCTTTCCAAGGTTGAAGAGAACACACTCCCACCTCGGGAGATCGTTTACTAAGGTCCAAAAAATATAAGAGGTGAATAACATGCAATCATACAAAAGATGTAAACCTAATTGGCTCTATGCAATTCTCACTTGGTGTAAAGAGGTAACTTCCAAAGAATATTTCAAGAATTAAACATTTTTGGCACATCATCACCACACTTCTAAGATAGAATAAACAATGACGCCCTTTACAATAAGACACACAATCATTCAGCATGAACCAATCAATCAATTGAATTTCCAACCACTAAAGCACAAAGTGCGTCCTTTCCACACTTTAAAATGAACATCGTCCTCGATGTTACTTTAAGCACTAGGTGAACAAATGAGCACGGTGTTACATATACAATAGTCTAACTATAATGTATACGAGAAACCTGACCTCGTATGAGAGCGGAAGCGTAGCTGTGTTGATCTCCAGCCATAGTTGATCTCCAGCCATAGTTGATGTTCCTGTTGTGTTGCCTCTTAACGGCAGATCGTTAGTCGTGTTTTGCCTCAGACCTGACTCAGAACCCTAGATGGTGTATTGGTGTCTACTGAGCGATCTGAGTACCGTAACTAAATGTGCTATCTAATCCATAATCCTGTATCCCATCAATCCAGGTTTATATTAGGCACAGAGTTTGGTTGACTAACAACTACTAGTTATTAAGTCCAACCAGACCACTTAATAAGCATAGTCAACTTGCACCACTTAATTAAGGCCCTAATATATAATATATAATATATATTATTAGGGAAAATCTTACATTCTCCCACTTGGTGCACGTACTAGCACAACCATCATCAAAGAACAAAACACACGAATCATAGTGATATGTCCTCTATTTAATCAGAGTAGTATCCATTATGGTCACATGCATTTTAATTCTCCAACTTAGGTCCTTTATGAACAAACCCTATGTTTATTCTCGGTACCTTAAGGGATGTTTTTCAAAATACATTATGTGCACAACTGAAGGAGAAAACGCATCCAAATTGTACAAAAGAGTACATTGTATGATCTCTAAAACTTTATAAGCATGCCTTAAATAGAGATCTCTTAATGTTAGCATAATGCTAACTATATTCCATGACTTCTTTATAAGTTAACTTTAAGTACTATCTCTAACGGCTAAGAGCTTGGGGTTGACACGTCTGTCACTCCCACTCATCAAAAATAGCCAAAAGATAGTCAAGTTACAGAAGCATTCCAATAACTTAGACAATAAACCAAAGGTCTAAGTCCATAAATTTGGAATCTTAAACATACATCATAACTTCCCAAATAACTTCAATGTTCACTTTAAACGAACTGAACATAATGAGTCTTACTTATATGTCCCACAAAATTGTTTTGAGCCTTACAACTGAAATGGCCCAGGATCAATTTTGAAGAAACTAAAGACTCTATTAATCACTAAAGAATTTATTAAATGACAGTGCACCACAAATTAAATGTTTTATTCTAATAAATTCCTTGGTTACAACATTTTCATAAATATGTTGCACAACCAAATGTTCAATAATTTGAACTTATGAATTTATATGAACAAATACAAGATTAATACTTGTGGAATATTTTGGACTTATTGTTTGACATAGAATCCAATTTGGAATGTATGAATACAATAATTAAATCCAAAATCTTTAGTGGAGTAATTTAATGATCTTTTTCTAAATGATCACTCACACTGATTAAAACATTCTTCAACGAAATTAATAAAATGTACTTAATAAGATACATACTCATAATTGATTTATTGACCAACTAACAAATGAAGACATAATTCCCCACCATTAGTTGGACATACTAAATAATCAATTTTTTGTTCCAATTAAAGTCCAACGAAATAATGAAGATATATTTCCCCACCATAGTTGGACATACTAAAAAAAACAAAATACACCTTCCAAAACCAAGTTAGAATTTGGCTCAAAAGATACATTTTATTATTAATGGAATCCAAAAGATGTATGTCAAATCATGTAACTTACTACAGTTAGTCCGAAGAACCGAGCAAGATTCGTGGATTAATTAATAGAAGTGGCTAAATTTTGGGAAGTGATTGAAAACATGTTTTGCCAATGCAAACCATGAAATTTAGAATTATAATTGAGCTAAATTTATAAATTCTAAGATTGTGATAAAATTATTATCTAATGGTTTGAAGGATTTATTGACATAAAACTTGCATGTGGGCTAAAGTTTTAATCCAATTAAGAAACCCTTATGATAATATTTTTCACAATTACTAAAGAGCCAGAAGAATCTAGTGACATAAAACTTGCCTGTGGGCTAAAGTTTTACTCAATTAGATCCAACTGAAAAATTTTATTTATGATGAAACTATTATCAAATGAGTTGAAGAATCAAATGACATAAAACTTGCCTGTAAGCTAAAGTTTTATTCAATATGATTCATTACAACCATTATGATAAAACTTAAGAAATCATGTTCCTTTTCTTAATCCCTGTGGGCAAATTAAGAAATATGATCTAAAGTTTACACCATAAAATTAAACTTCATGATAGAATTGGAAATTATTTACAAATAACCATAAAGTAAATAAATTGATTTATTTCTATCATCACTGATAAAACTACTAAACTACATTCCGATACATAATTGCCTGTGGGCTAAATTATGACCGTAGTCCAGTATTTCATCCTGATTAATTATACAAATATAACGAAATTGCCTGTAGGCTAAATTTCATCATATTACATACAATTAATCACAAAT